CAGACAAGCACCTGCCACACAACACCCCAGACTTAACAATTGTTGATAAGAAAGAGAAAAAAATCTGGACATTGCAATACCTGGAGACAGCAGAAGAGAAGAGAAAGAACTGGAGAAAATCACAAAATACGAAGACCTGCAAATAGAAGTCGGACGACTGTGGCAAAAGAAAGCAAAGGTAGGACCAATAGTAATAGGTGCCTTGGGTGCAATCCCAAAACATCTGGAGCACCCCTTGAAGACCATCAGCGTCGGTCCATTGCAAAAGGCAGCTTTACTTGGAACAGCTTCCATCCTGCAACGATACCCCAACACCATCAGACAACCACATCTGCCTATCCCAGGGCCTTGGGAAGGACTCGATGGGTGGATAAAAAGGCCAAATGTGGTCTAAACGTCTGGCTGACTGTGGGACCAACCATAATAAAAATACCTGGGTTTGCACTATCCGCTTAACTTCAGAATGGAATTGACCCATTTTCTGGGTTTGCCCAAGGAGTTGAATCTTAAACATGGTGGATTCGCACAAGACGCTGCATGGCAATGAGACCAAGCATAATCAAATTTAGGATGTTGTGTGAAGGAAACCCCCAGAGCTTTAATTGAACCAGTTAAATGTGGCTCCCGCTGGGATGTTGGAGAAACTTGGAAACAGCAATGTGATGTAAAACTCATAGAGATTGGTGTGGAATGGCCAAGCCTTAGCATACATGCAGGGCTGCTCAAAGTTTTCTGTGTGCTTTGCAAAAATCCGGAAGATCAAGGCCTTTGGGGATTCCCATTCTGCACTTTTTAGAGAGAGAGTGTGGCAGATCTAAGACTGCATTTGCAAAATACAGTACCTGCTTAATTTTAACCTGGTCTCTGGGCTAGCCTGTTGTACAACTCAGCCTAGTTGGTTAGTTAATACTTCATTGTATTGTGCAAACTCAGCTCTCAAATTGTGTGGTGTGAATCCAGTCAGTGAATTAGGCTGACAACATTGGTCTCATCTTCCCATTCTCCACTGCACAGTATCCTGCTGTAAACAGAGTTATGATGATTTCTCAACCCTCTTCGTTTTTTTCTACTGTTTTCCAGGTCAGTGTCAAGACACAAAATCCCTGGTTAGATGTGACTCTGTGTGTATGGCCCATTTCATCCAAGAGCTGGATCAGGCACATGAGGAGCTTCCTTTACAAAAAAGTAAGTTGAGAAAGAGACATATGCTGCCTTCCTCCAAGAACTCACAGGTTTCATTTTATCCTCACAATCCTATGAAAGTCGATCTGAGAGCGAGGGATGGGCCCAGAGTTGCCTGGGGAGCCTCCATGGCTAAGTGGGGACTAGAACCTCGGTCTCCCCATTCCCAGTCCAGCTCTTCTTCACTACTCCACACTGAGAGGGAGGGACTAGCCCAAGACAGAAAGCAGGAGACCCTGAGTTCTAGTCCTGCCTTAGGCCCAAAGCCAGCTGGGTGACCTTGGGCCAGTCACTCTCTTAGCCCCAGGAAGGAGGCAAAGGCTAATATTTCTGAAAATCTCACCAAGAAAACTGCAGGGACTTGGCCAGGCAGGTGCCAGGAGTCAAGACTTGACTCGAAGGCGCATGTGCGCGCACCCCCCCCCACCCCCACAGCAGGATGCTTCACAGACTTGTCTCTAATTCCTTTCTCATTGCAAATCGACAGGACACTATAATTTCATGGCTTGTTGCCAAATTTCAGCAGTGTGATTTGGGATTCTGGGGATTAAAAAAAAAAGCAATTTGAGGGCCACCTGTGGTCCCCAAATTGCACACACTGTTTTTTCCCAGTTGGTACTAAGATTTCAGACAGAGGGATAGCTGCTGTTGTGATTTTTAACTGTGTTTGGTTTGTAACCTACTTGTGATTTTTTCCCCCTGTAATGAGAACCAGGATGAAAAAGGCACACCATCCCTCAATAATGTTTGGAGGAAAGACTCCTTTCTCTTCGAGAAATGGGCTGGAAACTTCAGCTTTGGCCCCCATCAGTGACAACAGCACTTTGCTCAATTGGATGTTCCCAAATATTGAAATGTCCAAAAGTGTAAGGATCAGAAAAATAGTAGCTGTGGTCCATCTGCAGTTGCAAGATCCCCTTTTGGTGTCCTCCAAATTCATTCTGATTACTGAAAAGTGATGGTTTTCTGCTTTGGAGTGGGAAACAAATGGAAAGGGTAGCGTGAGCCCTAAAATAAGCCTATTCCAATTACAAAGCAAAGGGAAAAACACCAAACTTTTCCCACCTTATAAGCATCAGCCTTGCCCAGATGTGTGGTGTGGTCCTCAGCAACTTTCAGGTGTTCAGCACAGACCCTGGTCTGCAAGATAGTTGTTGGGAATCAGGTGGCCTGTACATTTAGATTATGATAATGATGACGATGATGATGGTGACGATGATGAAGTTGGCTGTTACATGTGAGATCAGAAGGTAGGAGGAAGCTTGGATGTACTGATCTCCCTCTCATTCCAATTTCTATGTTATTTTTCAGGAAGAAGCTCCTTGGGGTTGTTCAACACTCCTATTTATAACTGCTTGTTACCTTGAAATTTCAAGTAGCCTTGAAAGTCGCACTGAGACGCTTTGGAAGGCGGGCTGATGGTTGGGCGTTAACCTTGTGCAAAATGGCAATGGAAGAGGGAGTGCTGTTGGATTTGGGGCCTGAATTCCAGGCCGGGCGAAAGCCAGAGGTGGCCTTGGATGTGGAAATGGAGGAGCAGGAAGAGGAGACAGATGTTCCAGCAGAGGAGGAGATCGCAAGATGGGAGGAGACCGAAGATTCCAGGAGAGGAGTGGAGGGGAGGGAAAGCGTTGATATCTCCCAGGTTGGAAGAACCAGGGCTTTTCTGACAAGGTCCCCAAGAGACCTGGTTAAAGAAGAGTTGGGCCAAGGGATTCTTGTCTCTGAGGACAGCCAGTGGAAAGAGTGCCCAAAGACAGTGGCATCACCTGGACTTGGCTGCCCAAGTCTACAAGAACTGGGGTCCCCTCTCCAGACCACTGCTCTGATGCCTCCAGCCTCCATCAAGGTGAAGGCAGAAGGCCACCAGTGCTTCACAGAAAAGCGGGAAACCCAAACCCAGCCAGATTCCAGTGGGGACCCCCAAGAGCCCAATCAAAACCTGAAATCCTCTGAGCAGCTGAAAGAAGAGGTTCCAGATGCAGACACTGTCGTTTCGGAGATTCAGCGCCAACGCTTCCGTCAGTTCCGCTACCAGGAGGCCGAGGGGCCCCAAGAGGCCTGCAGTCGCCTCTGGTTTCTCTGCTGCCGGTGGCTGAAGCCGGAGAGGCACACCAAGGAGCAGATCCTGGAGCTGCTGATCTTGGAGCAGTTCCTGGCCATCCTGCCCCCCAAGCTCCAGAGCTGGGTGGTTGAGGGTTGCCCCCAAACCTGTGCCCAGGCAGTGGCTCTGGCCGAGGGCTTCCAGCAGAAGGAATGGGCACCTGGGAGGTTGGATAAGCAGGTGAGGAAGGCATGATTTATGATGAGGAATCACAGATTTTGGTGCTTGCTGGATTTGCTTAGACATCCATCCATCCATCCATCCATCCATCCATCCATCCATCCATCCAGTTGCCCACAAGTGACTCTGGGTGGCTTATAGGATTAAAACATACAAACCCCCATAAGTTGTGTTTGAGGAGAAGCATATAGCTCTGTAGCGGAGGCAGGACAAGACCCATGATTCCCAGTCCACACTGTGGGCATCAGGTGCAGGATGGTAATTGTCCGCCTGCTTCCATTCCTGGGTTCTGGTTCGTCTTTCGTTGTGACTCACAAGCAAAGCAGAGCCCGGGCTTCTGCCCATCCCTGATTTTAAATTTCACCAGTTCCCCACAACAGCATTCTGGCAACAGCATTCTGGAGGGCAGAAATGATGGGTGTGGATGCAGAACCCAGCGCTCCTTGGAATGGTAACATTTTGCCACCAAATGAAGTTGGTGCATCAGGATTGTGAAAAGTCTCCTTAGACTTTGGAAAAGGGGTGGGAACAGGTTTTCGAGGAGGGGCTGGGTGAGGGTCCCTGCCGTTTCCAGGCTCTGTGATGATGGGCGGCGGGAACACAGCACGTGGTTTTCCACCCTACAAGGGGGTCAGCTAGATGTCCGTTACGGCCTGTCCACTTCTTTGATTCTAGCATCTTCCTTTATGTTTCAGGTGTCAGTGAAAGAGCTGGCCCTGAATTTTTCTGGGGCTGAACAGAGGTCATTGGACTGTCAGCAGAATCAGATTTTCCAGGGAGGCGACAGTGGAAATTCCACCATTCTGGGTAAGGAATTTGGTGGGGGTGCTTAATCTTTTCCACTGGCAAAGCACCAAGGAAGGGTGTCCAAACTCTGTCTGGATTTGCCCAGCGGGAACCAGTTTGGATCGTACTTGCACCTTGCCGAGGGCGATCAGGTTTTTTTTTAAAATGCCCCGTCTTTCTGGCACCATGGAGAAGGCTGTGCAGATCTGTGCCTTTTTACCCCACGTGTGAAAGTGGGATGGTCACAGCAGAAGATCAACCCATAATGCTGCCATAGCAGAAATAACAGCAACAGCACAAAAACTATATTGGAGGGACATTTTGACACTCAGTTCCCCCCCCTTTTTTTGTGGTGCACAATGCTTTCAAGTTTTCAAATTGTACGTTCAGTTGGGGAGTGCTTTGGGGTAAAAAGGGACTTGGAAATAATAGTATAAATAAAATGAACGGTCCATTGCAGAAGGTTGTGGATGGAATTTATTACTCTTTAAGTATCAGGACCTAGCCGACCTTGACTGATCTCAAAAAAAAAAAAGCTAAGCAAGTCTTATACTTGGATGGGAGGCCACCAGGAAATCCAACAGATGTGAACTAAACTGGGAAATTCAAAAAAAAAAAATATCCTGGAACAAGGCAGTGGCAAACCTCTTCTATATTGCTGTCAGAAAAGTACATGGACTTGCCTGGTAGTTCTTTCTCCCACCCACCGACCCACCCACAAAAGCTAAACAAGGTTGGGCCTAGTTAGTACTTGGATGGGAGACCACTAGGAAATCCCTTTTAGGTGTGTATAGCCTTCTCATATGTTAACTGGGGATGCTGAAAGTTGTCTCAAAGTAGCTGTGGAAAAAGAAGACATCTGTAATGAACACCTGCATCTAGGATAGGATTTTTGTCTTGTGTTTGTTGAGGAAGTTAAACATCTGGCCAATGAAAAGAGCCGGAGGAAGGGAGAGCCAGGCAGGGATCCACCAGTCTTGATCTTCTTTTATAGCCCCAAAAGCTGCCCAAGGTTGTACCCCTGAAGTGTGGAGTTAAATTTTGCTGAACAATTAAGCAATCACATAGGTGTAGTGAGCTCTTGATAGGGTGAACACATCTATTCATGGAGGGAAAAAAAAATCTGGCTTCCCTTCCTCCATCATGTCACTGAATCACTGCTCAGGTCTCTTTTCCTCTGCCCTAAATTAAAAAAATGTGACGACCTACTTTAGAAACATGAGCTACTTCTGGCGTAAAGATAGTTGAACATGGGTTCAAATTCCTATTTAGGTCTAAAGTTCACTTGCATTATCAACTTATTTCTTGTAGAAAGACGTATTTGTTGGTATTGTAAAGCTCCATCATAAAATTGACTAAAGCATTCCTCAGATGAAAGACGTTAGACCAGTGTTGTCCAAACTTGGCCACTTTAAGATGAGTAGACTTCAAC